CACTACTCTCATCAGCTGGAGAGAGAGCGTGAAGAAGAAGAATGGGGAGGCATACCACCCCATCTTGAAGAGCTAATCAAGCATGTGGAGAGAAACCCTTTCTACAATTCTACTTCAGAGTGTGCAAAGGAGCATCTATGCAACTTTGAGCAGCTTTGCTACGACTATGGAGTTGGAGATAACCCCAAGAAGATACAACTTTTCCAACTATCTTTAGCTGGACAAGCCAAAGAATGGGCTAAGTTCAACGCCCAACATGCTTTCAAGACTTGGAATGGATACAAAGGAGCTTTCCTCTACAGATTTGCTAAAGGTCCCATTTATGTTCCACCACCACGCCCCAGTAATTTTTCGATGGATTTCCGACGGTTTTCAACAGCACAAAAACGGTCGGTAATCCGTCGGCAATTTCCGACGGATTAGAACTCGTCGGAATTATTGGGATATTTTCGATGGTTTAGCGACAAATTTTATTTCCATCGTATATAGGGAAATATTTCCGACAGTGTTTCAACAGGCATGAAGTCCGTCGTAAATCACAGGAAACATTTCCGACGGTTTAATGAGGAATACAAAATCCGTCGGGAAAATTTTGATTAATTCCGTCTACAATTCGTCGGATATATTTGCGATAAATTTCCGACAAATTTCCGTTGAGAAAATAAGCGATGACTTTCCGACGGAATCATTTTCTGACGGATTATCGACAGATTTCCCGATCAGGACCATTGCGGATAATCTCTCAGTATTCCGCCGGGAAACTGTTTCGACGGGTTCCGACGGCTTACTATCGACAGATTATTGATGAACATCCCGACCATGATGGTTGTCGATAAACTCTCGGTAATCCGTCGTTAATAATTTTCGACGGATTCCGACGGTTATTTACGACGGATTTCCGACGAATGTTGTTTTTCCGACGACTTGTAATTGACGAATTATAACGGTCGGAAATCCGTCGATATAGATGGTTTCCGACGGTTGATCGACAATTTTCTCCATCAGTTTCACGCTGTTTTCTTGTAGTGCCGGACTTCAAACCAGTTCAATGCCACTGCATCAACTTTGGATGGAGCTAGAAAACGATCTACTCAATGGATTTCATCAAGACTAGTTCCCTGCGTGCTCTGATTGAGTTAACTTTCCAACGCAACTGGAACGGCCTCATTTGGATGAGTAGAAAAGGACTTATAGCCAAAAGAGCGAAGACTGTCCAAAGCCGATCTATCGAGAATCGACGCCCAAACCGCGCAGAACGGCCGGCCGAGGAACGCATGTTCCGCTCTCGGCCAAAATTGCGTCCGTCCGTCTGAAGTCTCGGCCAAAGTTCAAAACCGTTCGGCCGATCATGCATCACGACCCGGGAAACTAAGACCCGCAGTCGGCCACGCCACGACCGTCCACGCCTCGCCGCGCACGACCATGCCGCGCGAGCCGGGAAACAAAGCCTCGCGGCCGCGTAACCTATCTCGCGTACCACGGCCGATGGTTCCGGCTCGTCCCAAGTCCGGCCGAGAAACCATCGACCATTCCATCAACCGTCCGACCACACCGGCCGACCGTTAAATCATCCGGCCACGACCGTTCCGACACGGCCACAACCCGACTGTCGGGCCGATCGTCCCGACCGACCGTCTGAACGCCGCGGTCGCCCCAAAGCCGTTTTTGAAGCCCAATCCGCACAATCCAAGCCCAAAGCCGGCGCCGACCTAGCAAGATTAGGTCTAGCCGCTTTTTCATACTTAGTGTATTATAAATACTTCTTTTTAGCCTTGTAACTCAAGAAGGAGAGAGACCACAATATATTTTACATCTTTAATAAAGTTTTGGTTGCTTTTACTTTGTTCTTGCGTGTGCTCTTTCTAGAGAGGATTCGAATCTCTGTTCTTATGAATATGAATTCGTGTTCCTTCTCTATGTCTGAGTAGTTTACTTGTTAAGTGATAGGAAGTCAAAGGATAGCATTCATGTATGTTTGATGATTGATCACAATTAGGGTTTTACTTATAATCTCCATCTTTGCTTATACTTAATGCTTGTTGTTAATCTGGCCAATAAGCATATGAACTTGGGTTGATTTGAGCCTCGATAGTGCTGTATCATTCGCCTGAACTAGTATTTGGTGGGCAACCTCTTTTAGACTGCGAAAGTTGATTTACTTGTAGGTTGTGAACAATTGAACTTAATCAAACTAATGCTTGATTTAATCACCTAAGGATATACCAAAAGTTTAGCGACTAGGTAGATTAACAAAGGGGTCGGAGCCTCGACAGTGGAATGATCATACCTTAGTGTTTCAAGTTCTAGAATGACACCTAATTGCAGTAACCCTAATTGATTGATTTCTTGCTTCATGAATTGCTTATCTTAAGACTATCCTATTGCTTAGCCCTTTTCTCCTATTGATCTTATTCTATTTGAAACTTGCATGCCTTTACTCTTACTGCACTCAACCAAACCTTATACTTTTGCCCTAGCTCGATCTCGAACTTATAGCTTGTAGTGTGCAATCTGGTCCTCGTGTTCGATACCCGTTTACTACTTCTGACCTGTGCACTTACAGAATCAGGGATAGGAAAGGGGAAGACCTGATCCCGCGATCAAGTTTTTGGCGCCGTTGCCGGGGACCAATTTGTCACCTACAAGTTCCTGCAAGAGAGCTAGTCTAGGGTTTTATCTTTTTCCTTTTTAGTTTTGTTATTTTCCCTTTTCCTTTTGATTTGGTTTTTCCTTTTTGTTTTTGATCTTTTTCAGGCTTTCCTAGTTAGATATGGAAAATGATTCACAAGTCCTTGTTCCTATAAAGGCGATTCCACTTCGTCAAATACCACCTCAAAGAAACCTCTTGGACGAACAAGAGATGTCAAGCCCTCAAGCACCACCACCTTCTTGGGATAGTCCTCCAAAACTATCCTCCTTGAAGACAAAGAAGAAACTTCTTCCCTACCTTGAAGCAGCCGACCTGGAGACATCTAGCCAAGCCGCATCTTACAGAGAAGAACACCTTCTAGCCACGCCAGAAGAGGAGATTAACCCTGAGATGATTGAGTTCGTGAAGAGAGATCAATTCCATCATCTGTTTTCAGAGTATGCGCTAGAGCATCTGGATCACTTTGATAATCTTTGTGATTCCTATGGAGTCTTTGACTTTGAGAAGAAGATGATGCTATTCAGCACATCACTAGCTGGACCAGCACTAGATTGGGCGCAGCATGAGCCACTCTCTACAATCGAGTCATGGATCGATTTTAGAGAAGCCTTCTTGAAGAGATTTGCAAGGCTACCACCTTTCAAGTCCAAGTACAATCACTACTCTCATCAGCTGGAGAGAGAGCGTGAAGAAGAAGAATGGGGAGGCATACCACCCCATCTTGAAGAGCTAATCAAGCATGTGGAGAGAAACCCTTTCTACAATTCTACTTCAGAGTGTGCAAAGGAGCATCTATGCAACTTTGAGCAGCTTTGCCACGACTATGGAGTTGGAGATAACCCCAAGAAGATACAACTTTTCCAACTATCTTTAGCTGGACAAGCCAAAGAATGGGCTAAGTTCAACGCCCAACATGCTTTCAAGACTTGGAATGGATACAAAGGAGCTTTCCTCTACAGATTTGCTAAAGGTCCCATTTATGTTCCACCACCACGCCCCAGTAATTTTTCGATGGATTTCCGACGGTTTTCAACAGCACAAAAACGGTCGGTAATCCGTCGGCAATTTCCGACGGATTAGAACTCGTCGGAATTATTGGGATATTTTCGATGGTTTAGCGACAAATTTTATTTCCATCGTATATAGGGAAATATTTCCGACAGTGTTTCAACAGGCATGAAGTCCGTCGTAAATCACAGGAAACATTTCCGACGGTTTAATGAGGAATACAAAATCCGTCGGGAAAATTTTGATTAATTCCGTCTACAATTCGTCGGATATATTTGCGATAAATTTCCGACAAATTTCCGTTGAGAAAATAAGCGATGACTTTCCGACGGAATCATTTTCTGACGGATTATCGACAGATTTCCCGATCAGGACCATTGCGGATAATCTCTCAGTATTCCGCCGGGAAACTGTTTCGACGGGTTCCGACGGCTTACTATCGACAGATTATTGATGAACATCCCGACCATGATGGTTGTCGATAAACTCTCGGTAATCCGTCGTTAATAATTTTCGACGGATTCCGACGGTTATTTACGACGGATTTCCGACGAATGTTGTTTTTCCGACGACTTGTAATTGACGAATTATAACGGTCGGAAATCCGTCGATATAGATGGTTTCCGACGGTTGATCGACAATTTTCTCCATCAGTTTCACGCTGTTTTCTTGTAGTGCCGGACTTCAAACCAGTTCAATGCCACTGCATCAACTTTGGATGGAGCTAGAAAACGATCTACTCAATGGATTTCATCAAGACTAGTTCCCTGCGTGCTCTGATTGAGTTAACTTTCCAACGCAACTGGAACGGCCTCATTTGGATGAGTAGAAAAGGACTTATAGCCAAAAGAGCGAAGACTGTCCAAAGCCGATCTATCGAGAATCGACGCCCAAACCGCGCAGAACGGCCGGCCGAGGAACGCATGTTCCGCTCTCGGCCAAAATTGCGTCCGTCCGTCTGAAGTCTCGGCCAAAGTTCAAAACCGTTCGGCCGATCATGCATCACGACCCGGGAAACTAAGACCCGCAGTCGGCCACGCCACGACCGTCCACGCCTCGCCGCGCACGACCATGCCGCGCGAGCCGGGAAACAAAGCCTCGCGGCCGCGTAACCTATCTCGCGTACCACGGCCGATGGTTCCGGCTCGTCCCAAGTCCGGCCGAGAAACCATCGACCATTCCATCAACCGTCCGACCACACCGGCCGACCGTTAAATCATCCGGCCACGACCGTTCCGACACGGCCACAACCCGACTGTCGGGCCGATCGTCCCGACCGACCGTCTGAACGCCGCGGTCGCCCCAAAGCCGTTTTTGAAGCCCAATCCGCACAATCCAAGCCCAAAGCCGGCGCCGACCTAGCAAGATTAGGTCTAGCCGCTTTTTCATACTTAGTGTATTATAAATACTTCTTTTTAGCCTTGTAACTCAAGAAGGAGAGAGACCACAATATATTTTACATCTTTAATAAAGTTTTGGTTGCTTTTACTTTGTTCTTGCGTGTGCTCTTTCTAGAGAGGATTCGAATCTCTGTTCTTATGAATATGAATTCGTGTTCCTTCTCTATGTCTGAGTAGTTTACTTGTTAAGTGATAGGAAGTCAAAGGATAGCATTCATGTATGTTTGATGATTGATCACAATTAGGGTTTTACTTATAATCTCCATCTTTGCTTATACTTAATGCTTGTTGTTAATCTGGCCAATAAGCATATGAACTTGGGTTGATTTGAGCCTCGATAGTGCTGTATCATTCGCCTGAACTAGTATTTGGTGGGCAACCTCTTTTAGACTGCGAAAGTTGATTTACTTGTAGGTTGTGAACAATTGAACTTAATCAAACTAATGCTTGATTTAATCACCTAAGGATATACCAAAAGTTTAGCGACTAGGTAGATTAACAAAGGGGTCGGAGCCTCGACAGTGGAATGATCATACCTTAGTGTTTCAAGTTCTAGAATGACACCTAATTGCAGTAACCCTAATTGATTGATTTCTTGCTTCATGAATTGCTTATCTTAAGACTATCCTATTGCTTAGCCCTTTTCTCCTATTGATCTTATTCTATTTGAAACTTGCATGCCTTTACTCTTACTGCACTCAACCAAACCTTATACTTTTGCCCTAGCTCGATCTCGAACTTATAGCTTGTAGTGTGCAATCTGGTCCTCGTGTTCGATACCCGTTTACTACTTCTGACCTGTGCACTTACAGAATCAGGGATAGGAAAGGGGAAGACCTGATCCCGCGATCAAGTTTTTGGCGCCGTTGCCGGGGACCAATTTGTCACCTACAAGTTCCTGCAAGAGAGCTAGTCTAGGGTTTTATCTTTTTCCTTTTTAGTTTTGTTATTTTCCCTTTTCCTTTTGATTTGGTTTTTCCTTTTTGTTTTTGATCTTTTTCAGGCTTTCCTAGTTAGATATGGAAAATGATTCACAAGTCCTTGTTCCTATAAAGGCGATTCCACTTCGCCAAATACCACCTCAAAGAAACCTCTTGGACGAACAAGAGATGTCAAGCCCTCAAGCACCACCACCTTCTTGGGATAGTCCTCCAAAACTATCCTCCTTGAAGACAAAGAAGAAACTTCTTCCCTACCTTGAAGCAGCCGACCTGGAGACATCTAGCCAAGCCGCATCTTACAGAGAAGAACACCTTCTAGCCACGCCAGAAGAGGAGATTAACCCTGAGATGATTGAGTTCGTGAAGAGAGATCAATTCCATCATCTGTTTTCAGAGTATGCGCTAGAGCATCTGGATCACTTTGATAATCTTTGTGATTCCTATGGAGTCTTTGACTTTGAGAAGAAGATGATGCTATTCAGCACATCACTAGCTGGACCAGCACTAGATTGGGCGCAGCATGAGCCACTCTCTACAATCGAGTCATGGATCGATTTTAGAGAAGCC